CCCCACCCCACTCTTGTAGCAAGTCCTCTCCTGTGTTGAACCTGAATACTCTCAGTTCCCTGTAAACTTGCATCTTGACAAAATAACCATTTGAAGCTGCAGCAGCTATCTTGAGCCTGGCTTTATTTTCTGTCCTCACCACCTCCATCATTCATCAATCACTTCTCCTCCTCATCCTTCCATCATTGGCTCCCCTCTGCTTCTCTTCCACCTCCACCAGCCAGTCAGCATCTCACTGGGCCCCGGCCCCGCCTCCTCCTACTCCACCCAGCAGCTCTCTAATTTGACACATTTGGCAGCCAAGGCAGAGGATTCTGTCTAGCCCGGCTTGCCTCACTGATTTGGGGGGCAGCGTTTTTTTTGCCACCCCACTGTAAAGTTCTGCCCACCGCCTTGTTTGCCCTGCGGTGGTACGCCTCTGCCCCTCTCGCAGCTATTAGCTTTCTCAGCCATCAATCATTTTGTTCCCAAGCTTCATGTGAAAGTACACATCCCTGGAATCCCTTTAGATGTGCCTGCAACCAATCAACAGAGTGCACAGGTAAAATGTGCAGCAACCAGCAGGGAGAAGCAGGCACATCAAAAGGAATACAAAACCAGCTGCACAGAATAACAAATCATTTGGCAGGTAAAACAGTTTTCCTTTATGTAACTAACGTGCATATTTCAGTTACAGTTATTTTAGTTTGCCTTCAGTGTTCTGTACTCACTTGTTTTGGGCATTGCCAAACTCTCCAAATGGATCACCAGCTCTTCCTCCATCCCCAGTGAAGATATATAGGTATCCATCGATTCCAAACAGTATTTGCCCCCCGTTGTGGTTGGATGCAGGTTCTGTAATTTCTAGGATTATTCTGAAAGTACAGACATGTGATAGGCTGTAATCACTCTGTAATGTGCACAATATATAAAAGTATTTATCCATACCGAACACTGAATTATGTTATGTCTGCTTTGTCTGAAAGCAGGAATGGAATGGCGCAGTGCACAGCCAAAGCCCATGTACACAGATTTCCCGCAATATGGTTGGCTGTAGGTCAGCCTTCAAACTATGCTCATTCCTCGACAAGCTACTCCAATACATCCCATACGTCCCATAACAAGGCGTAAAAACTGGTGGCCAGGGAAAGAAAACAGAATCAATGGACTGAAGGGTCATACTGGGTACATGGTATTCTATGCCTTCTGTGCTGTCTGTAGTACTGGGTACATGGCATTCTATGCTGCCTGTAGTACTGGGTACATGGCATTCTATACCTTCCCTGCTGCCTGCAATACTGGGTACATGTTAATCTATGCCTTCCTTGCTGCCTTTGGTACTGAGTACATAGCATTCTATGCTGCCTGCAGTACTGAATATGTGGCATTCTGAGTATTCTATGCTGCCTGCAGTACTGAGCACATGATATTCCGAGTCTTCTAGAATGTCTGCACTGCAGTACTGAGTACATGATATTCTGAGTCTTCTAGGATGTCTGCACTGCAGTACTGAGTACATGATATTCTGAGTCTTCTAGGATGTCTGCAGTACTGAGTACATGATATTCTGAGTCTTAAGGTGCCCATTCACTGCACGATTATCGTACGATAATCGTATGTGATTATCGTACGATAATCGTATGTGATCGGGTTTTCGTACGATAATCGAGCAGTGTGAACGGTGACGTGCGACCGTTTCTACTGTACGGTCGCACGTCTTCTGTCGAACCAGCATGTTCGAAAACCAGCCGGGAATCGTACGATTCTCGGCTGGTTAGAACGGTGCTCGGAAGATAAATGCTGAACGGGTCGGTGTGCGCACGCGCACACTGCCCGTTCAGCATTGCGGTCATCGGAAGCCCGCCCCTCAGGGGGGCGGGCTTGCGATGATCGAGAGTGCGATCTGCCTGTCCAAGATAGGCAGATCGTACGTTTTTTTAATCCCTTTACAACCATCGCAAGACTAAAGTCTTGCGATGGTTGTAGAGTGTATGGCCACCTTTATAGGATGTCTGCAGTACTGAGTACATGATATTCTGAGTCTTATAGGATGTCTGCAGTACTGAGTACATGATATTCTGAGTCTTATAGGATGTCTGTAGTACTGAGTACATGATATTCTGAGTCTTCTAGGATGTCTGTAGTACTGAATACATGATATTCTGAGTCTTCTATGCTGCCAGTAGTACTGAGCACATGATATTCTGAGTCTTATAGGATGTCTGTAGTACTGAGTACATGATATTCTGAATCTTATAGGATGTCTGTAGTACTGAGTACATGATATTCTGAGTCTTATAGGATGTCTGTAGTACTGAGTACATGATATTCTGAATCTTATAGGATGTCTGTAGTACTGAGTACATGATATTCTGAGTCTTCTAGGATGTCTGTAGT